TACTAATATAGATGTATGTCCTTAGGGCTCCCTAGTTATAGATAATTAGGTAGTATCTTAGGTCTTTAACTATTGCTAGTCTCTTTGTATATAGGTTGAGCTAGGGCTCTTAGATTATAATAATATAATGTTCTTTTAGGTTTAGTACTTGAAGGAAGCTCCTCTATACCTTGTCTTTGCTCTTATTAACATTGTACTATATAATATTCAGTAATGTTGCAATGTTTATTAGGTTTTATCTATATTATTTCCCTATAAGTTTTCCTTTAGTCTTCCCTTACTTTAGACCAACATTTAACTAAGCTTTGTCTGCCCTGCTTCCTTTCCTACAATATTAAGGTATCTTAGTCTCCTTAGTTGCTAGTAATTCTCTTGTGCTAGTAAGGCCCTGAATGTGAACCTATTATCTTATCTAGACCTCTTTTATAGCACTTAGCTAGGTTGCTTCTGTACCTAGCTGCCCTAGCTTATTATATATCTTTTTAGTATATTGATTCTAGCTTCCTTTGCCTTCCTCGCTGCCTATATTCTTACTAGGCATTCCTTCGCCTAAGAGGGGTGTCTTTTAGTGCAGTATATATATCTTGCTTCTCCCTTGTATACTTTGTATTCTTTAACCTAGTAATCCCCTATATAATAGGAGTAGGTGTTGGTTGTCTTTATACACTTAGCTACTAAGTGTCTATAGTGTTAACATTTGAAGCACTGCATTATCCTATAGTTGCTTCTATGTATCTCTGTTTCTAATCTCTTATAGTCCTAGAACAGCCCCTAGTCTAGCACTATATTAGCTTGCTCTATACTCCCTACCTAGATAATTAGGGAAGACTGCTTCTTAGTCTCTTCGATTTTCCTTTTAATCTATACTACCTTTGTAATCTTTAGGCCTAGGCATATAGCTTAGTTTTATCTCTATAGGCTCCTAATATCCTGTTCTTCCTTAAAGCTTCTTATTATACTATAGGCTATAATTATAAATTGCTATTAGGAGACCTTTGCTGTTTTCCCTATCTTAGTTATCTATTCTTTTTGTGTTTCTAGCTTCTTTTTGTCCTACTCTTATACTATAAACAGCTTGATTACCCCTTTTCCTTCGTTCCTAGCCCTAATTACCTCTTTAACTATAATTCTTTCTACAATCTCTTTCCCTATAAGTCCTTAGATTTCCTTTTGCTCTTATAGGTCCGTAATATAGACTCTAACTACTGTCCTCGGGGGTTTTAGCGCCTCCTAACTAGCTACTACTGCCTAGGTGCGGTAGTTTGGGCTTATTTCCTATTGTTTCTTCGTAATCTTTGCTACGACTATATTAGCTACCTTTATAATTACGTAGCTTGCCTAGTTATAGATTGCTTTTAGTCCTCTAAGGAGTTCTGAGATTATTATCCTATATGCCCTCTTAGGGGTTCTTCTATCTTCCGCCTTTAGCACCTCCTCTGCCCTAGTATATAGTGCTTTCCATTCGTCCTCCCTTCCTTCTTAACTGTCTTCCCTTCGTTTCTAATTGTTCGCTGCCATTTTTTTTCCTCGATATCCGTATAGGTAAACTATATAGTCGCTTAGAATTCTATATATCTAAAGAAGAAATCCAATCCGATAGAATTAGGCTTATTTTTTTAAATTATTTAGAAGAAATTACTAATTTCAAGTTTAAACTATTTTCTCCGGGAATATACCTAGTAGAGTAAACGTCTAAAATAACGACTTAATAGAAAGATTAAAACGTTCCTATAGGATTCTATAGCCTACGCTTAATCTACTCGAGATTCTATTATTTTCTATAAACTACTCTAATTTTAATATCTAATCTATAGTAAATAGAAATAGAAAACTATAAAATTTATTAGTTATTAGTAAATAGAAAACAAAAATTCAATTCTATCTAATTTGGAGGCTAAGGCTTATAAAGCCCTATAATAAATTATAAGAAAATATTTCTTTAAGAAAATATACTATATTATTTTATAACTTAGACTATATATAGTCTCTAATAACTAGTCTTCTAAATCCATTTCTTCTAAGTCCTCGTTCGTACTATCTATATTACTATCTTCTTCTAAAGAATATTGATCCTCTGTTTTAGCTAAATATTCCTCTATAAAATTATTATCTAAGTCATTATTATTATTATTATTATCGCTAGCCTCTAATATATTACTACTAATACTAATAGGATTATTAAAATCGTCTACCTCTAGAATTGTAGTAAAGCCTAGATTAGCTTGTAGGTTAAGTTGTTTTAATAACTTATTACGATATCTAAGTCGTTACTATCTATAAGG